GGGTGCCGAGGGGGCGGGGGGGGCCCTTCTCGTCCCCTCCGGTCCCCACCCGACCCCACCGGCTCCCGCGATCCCGGGCACCCGCCGGGAAGGGCGCGCGATCGCGTGCGTTGGTTGTGTTTGCTTCCCGGCTACCGAGAAGCGTTTATGACCCCCCCACCTCCCGCCCTCCCCAGATCCTAGCAATTGTGCAACCTGTGTGAAGCAAACTCCCCCCGCGTGCACAAGAAGTAAAGCTTAAACCACAACCACCACCACCACCCACCCACCCAACCCCGAGCCCCACTACACCTCGCTCCGGCACGGACACCACCTTGATTGCTGCTTGGGGCTTTTGTCAGACTGGGGAGTTGGGGAGTGGGGTTGTGGGTGGGGGGAGGAAGGGCGGCTGGGCAGGGCCGGAGTAACTGGGCTAGACAATCGGTGTGGTTGTGCCGGGCAGGGCAGGTCTAGGGTGTGTGATCACCAGATCCGATCCCCAAGTCCGCCTTCCTGACCGGAGGACGCCTGAACCCGCCTGCCACGGAAACAGCCGGCTCCCACAGCCTTATTTGGCCAACAAGTGCTAGGCGTGAACCTCAGCTGGGAAACTGGCTCTTCAGCTGCCTTCATCCTGGGCTGTGGCTGTAGTTCCTCAGCTCCACCCCAGTTACATCTCTAAGGGGGAAAGAGAGAATCTCAAGAAGCCCCCTCTCCCCCTCTTTTTTTTTGGGGGGGGGAAAGGATGGCTTAATCTGGGACTTGAACTCAGGGCTTGGGCTCTGTCCCTGAGCTCTTTTGCTTAATTCTAGCCAGCACTGTACCTCTTGAACCTCAGCCTTCAGGTACCTCCCTTTTTTAAAAATGTCATTTCCCCTCCTCCACTTCCATTTCAATGAAGCTGATGCACAAGTGTGGGAAAAATAACCAAGCTCCCCTCTCCAGCCGGATGAGACCAAAGCAGTTATTTATAAGACTTTCCGAAAAGAAAATCCAGTCCTATACAGAAATTCCAACATCTACATATTTGAGAACAGAATAAGCTGCGATTTCCTGCCCGCTTGGTATTTTAGGAAGGCACTAATGCCCAGATGGAGGAGACCTGCAAAAGGCCAATAATAATATTGCCATTGCTTTGGGATCAGAATATTTTAAGACAAATGAATTCCAAGGGAAGCCAGCAGAATAGAAAATAAATGACCTGTTTGGTTGTGTGGATGAGGCTCTGTCTCTCTCCCCCCCCCCCCCCCAGTATTAGGAATTTTAGTGACAAATGGAGATGTTAGAGACTATCTGTAAAGAGAGTTGCATATACATAGGTGGATACATACATGAAATGCATTTCCTTGTAGGAAGGTTGGGACCAAAGGGAGCTAGCTGAGTTAGTACTTTTTATTTTTTATTTTTGGTTGGTTGTGGGGCCTGATCTCTGGGCCTGGGCGCTGTCCCTCAGCTCGTCAGCTCAAGGCAAGTGCTCTACCACCTGAGCCACAGCAGTACTTTCCAATTAGTACTTTTATTGTGGGGTGCAGTTGTAAAATGTAGCTTCTTAGTAACCACTCACTGTTTGTCTTGTCCTGTAACAATTTTACTTCTGGCCTGTTCTTTGGGTCTTTTTCTAGTGGTCTGTGTCCAGTAATGTGTTACTGCCTAGTAATTAAGTGTTCTTCCATATCTTTGGGAAAGATGATTACTTTTCTGGATAGATGCAGCTCACATTATCCCTGAATTAATTTTCTCTAAGGAATAGTCTTAAAGTCGTGCCTCATTTTTCTCTTTTGAGAGGCAATGTTTAAGGCTGTCCACAGGCTCAGCTACCTACATCTGCTGGCATTAATTTGGTATACTGGGACAGAAAGTTTGAATGTGTTAAAAAATGCAAAAAATACAGCTCATATGAGGTGGTAATTTGGTTTAATAGTTTACATTTTCTAAGGAAGTGTGTCTTAGCAGCTTTGCTTTTCAAATTGACTTTTAAAAATTATAAAATTATGCTTCTTTATAATAAAGGAGAAAAAAACCCCACCTTTTTCCTCTTCTGTTTTCCATAAAGAAGAAACTATTAGGCTTCTCAGTATTTGGAAAAAGAAGTTTTTTTTTTTCTTCCAATGTCTTTTGCCACTATAACAACGAATGAAAAATTCCAAATTAAGCTTTGTTTTTCTTTTAAAAATTATTTAACAGTACTACCATATAGTTATTGTGCACACACAGCCAAGCAGGAGGAAGAAAGCCACGCTGCACACTGCTTTGGAAGCTGCCATTCAATTTCATGAATTAAGGCTAACCTTGTACTTTTGCCATTTTTAGGCATCACTTCCTTATCTCCCTGTAAATGTCGATTACTCAATCCTGTGCTTGGTGATTTGTATCTACAAAACAAAACAAAAAAGCCAATTATGACTAAAATGCACCTGTTCTAAAGTATTGCCTATCTTTACTTGTCTGAAGAGAAAAGTAAATATTCCTTTATGTGTGGAAAATACCATACGTCTGTCTATATGAGAAAATATATAGGGTTTATAATTGGCAAGAACAACCAGGTGTACTAAAAGACAACATGGCTGTGAGTCTGCTGAATTTCAGTCCCTTTCATATATTAGAATAACCTAGAATTTCAGTAAATGGAATTGAAGTACTCCTGCCAACAGCAGGGGAAAAAATACATGAGGTTAAGGAAAAGGGAAAATCGTTTTGAATTACAGCTGGAATGAAATCTTGATCTGGGGTGGGGGGGGGTGTCTTTCAGTGGTAGAGTACTTGCCTGGAATGCAAAAGACCCTAGATTTGATCTCCAGTAAAGTGTGAATTAAATTAAAACTTATATGAAAAAAGCCACAAAATTGTATTGTAGCAAGTTGTAAAACTTGTCAGGTATCTAGAAATAAATTGTGATGTGGAACTTTTAGACTACAGAAATGGGCATGAATGTAAAAATTAGCTTATATATTCTAGTACTAGGTTTTGAACTAAGAGCTTCCTGCTCGCTAGGTAGGTGCTCTGCTACTGAACTACACCTTCAGCCATTTTTTTTACCTTGGTTATTTGAGATAGGGCCTTGATTCCGGTCAGGGTGTTTGCATAGACCTCCATCCTCCTGATTTTTGCTTCATGCTGTAGTTGGTTGGGATGATAGTCATGTGCTACCACTCCCAACTTCTTTTTGCTTAGATGGAATTTTGTTTGACTTTTGTGTTCAGGTTTGCCACCTGTTGAGAAGGAATCTTATGAACTTCAGTCTTCTTATTTTCAGTTTACCAAGTAGGTGGGATTACAGAACTGAATCACTCAGCACCCAGGTTCCTTAGGGTGAAATCAGTGAAGAATTTAGTAGACTTATCTCTTACTTCTCTTGATCCCATCACTGAATTCTGAACATAATTTTGTTGACTTAATATTAACTACATTTAGGTGTTTAATAGTGTTTAAAATAAACATTTTTGTTAACCATCTAATTTTCTTTCCCAGTTTGTTTGATCTTCTGTCGTTGGACTTGGATCCATTGGAACCATGAGCAACTACAGCGTGTCCTTGGTTGGCCCAGCTCCGTGGGGCTTCCGGCTTCAAGGTGGCAAAGATTTCAACATGCCTCTGACAATCTCTAGTGTAAGGCAACCTTCCAGTTTTTATTGCAGATGTTCATACGATACTTGGTTCCAGAAAATTCAGGGCTGAATCCCTGAATTCTCTATTGACCTGTACTATGCTTGCTACAATTGTGGGGTTTGTTCAAAGCAAATTTAGTTATCCAATAAAGAATGGGGGGGGTGGGAAACATAGCCAGGATAATTGGTTTCACTCCTGTTTATTTTCATCCCTTCCCATATTAGCAAAAATTAAACAGAAAAGCAGTTAACTGGGAAGCTGACTCTAAATTTGAACTGCCTCTAACTTGGGTGTTTTCCCTTGGCCTAACTTCTTTCATATATATTCTATTGCATTATGGCATTTGAACGGTGCTTTTCAGCTCCCAAAGCTATCTTATTAAGATTGTTTCTCAAAATTGAATAAAAATACTATTTTTGGTATTATTTTCTCAGTTCACTATTCAGTAGAGGTTGGTTGTCAATAGTAAAATGGCCAAAAGCTATTTACTTTTGAAAAGAAAACGAAGGGCTTAGATTTCAACATTACCTATAATAATTAGATTTGGCTGTTTACTTCATTATTAATTTAGGTAAATGTATTCTGTGTATGAATATTTATTCATAGTAGCGCTCATACTGATGTGAATGATGATAGCTTCCATTTGTTTGGGCTTGACGACATATCAGGCACTCTCTCATTTATTACCATAGGGTAATTGTTACTTCTCATTAATTGCTAGCTTTCTACAGTAGCTTTTTCTTCATGTCAGGCAAAGGTGAATTTCTTGTATTAAAATTTCTGAACTATATATAGTAATGGTTATCATGTAATATTTTGATATATGTATACCATGTATAATGCTTAAATCAGGTTAAACATACCATTTCTCTGTGTGTGTGTGTGTGTGTGTGTGCGCATGTGCGTGTGTGTGTATGTTTATGTATGCACAAGTGCAAGCCAGTACTGGGGCTTGTACTAGGGGCCTCAGGCTCTCATTTGGCTTTTTTGGCCAAGGCTGGTGCTTTACCACTTGAACCACTTCCAGCTTTTTGCTACTTAATGAGAAAAGAGTCTCATGGAATTTTTTGCCTGGACTGGCTTCAAACTCGATACTCAGGTGTTAGACTTCAGCATAGCTAGGATTACAGGTGTGAGCCATTGGTGCCTGGCTAAACAGTTACTATTTCTTAGTGGTAAATTTCATTGGTGAATTTAATGGTAAAATTTAAAGTCCCTCTCATAGATATGTATTTATACCCTTTTTCTCAATAGTAGCTTATTGTATACAATTTCATACTTTCTTTTTTCTCAACAATTTACCATGGAGAACTTTTTCTAGTAGGATATAAGGAGGCTCTTGTTTTGGAAGTAAAGTTTATTTAACCAGTCTCCCACTGGAGGGCATTTGTTTTTGTTTCCTATATCACTAGTGTAGGCAGTGCTATAATAAATACTATGTTAATACGAGTTCACATATATTTATGAATATATAGGTCATTTTGATAACTTGTCAACTTACACTTTTGTCAAAAGTGCATGAAAATACCAACTTCACGTTCTTTCCACTTCAGTCCCTGCTTTACCAAGAAACCTGGATTTTTGCCAAGTGATGTAAATGTTTCTTAATTCGCATGTCAATCTGTGAAATAGTGGTATTCACATTGTACATCATGTGTACAACAGCAGGCCTGGTGTGGAAGAACTGGATTTTACCAGTTACACGGTGCTGACCCCCTAGTGATCCACATTGACTTAAGTGTAGTTAGGCTGTTCATCTATATACCTGCTAGTTTAGCTGGGCCTGTAGCTCACATTCTGTAATCCTAGTGACTCAGGAGGTGGAGATCTGGATTTCACTTCAAAATCAGCCTGGGCAGGAAAGTCCCTAAAACTCTTATCTCCAATTAGCTTATCACCAAAAAGCTGGAAGTGGAGCTCAAGTAGTAGATCATTAGCCTTGAGTGAAAAAACTAAGGACAGCATCCAAGTCCTGAGTTCAAGCCCCAGGACCAGCACCAAAAAGAAAAAAAAAAAAAAGCTCCTTTGTTTAGTTAAACATACATGAATAAACATACACACATATTATGCATTTTATGGTATATATAAAAATATATATCTTGATTTTGAAAAATTAAAGATGTTTTTAACTTATCTTTATATCTGTATATCCCTGTTAAATCTCCATTTACTAATACAGTTTCCATTGTTTTTGCCAATGGATTTGCAAAATAGTTACTTTTAATTTCTCACCAATTTCTACCTTGGTTCCGGTTAATCAGATAAGGAAATGTAAATAATCCAGCCTGCTAGTTTTAAGACCTTTTAGTGCTTGCGTGAAATTTTGAATGTACAGTGTCTATATGAAATGTATGCTACGATTTAGTCCTGTTTGAGTGAGGCAGTGTTTTTCTATGGGAAGTCTGTTACGAGGTCAGAATACTGTTTGTTTTGTTCACATTTTATATTGTTAGTTTTCTACATTAATTGGCTAAGGAAAGTTGTTGCTTAATTTAAAATACTTCAATTTTTGCTGAGAAAAAAAGAGAACAGATCAACCCTAAATGAAAGAAACTTTGTCATTACTTTGTGGTTCAGTAATGGAGATGTAACTGGTGTGTATGTAAATTGCATGGCACCATTCCTTTAAAGTTTTATGTGCTTCAGTTTCCTGGCAGACAATTTGAGGTGCAAGCTCCATGTTGTGATGCAGATACAAGGGAACACTGTGTACATACATCTGTGCCTTCCCCTGGCACCCAGAAATGCTTTCCTTGTGTAGACAGAGCGCTAATTAAAGGGTTTTGAACACACTGATTAAAAGAGACTACGGTAACAAGCTGCTGAGTTATTTCTGTTCTCTTACAAAAGTCTCTGCCATCCACTGTGACCTTTTTGGGCCTTGTGCAGTAGAGCATGCAATTCACTCTGGGCCAGAGAGGATGGGCAGGGGAGGGGGAGGAGTGGAGGGAATGTTGGCTCAACTGGATTGCTAGCTCTTGCCCTTTCATTATAGTTATTTTTAACCCCTTGTGTGGTTCAGTTTAAACATGCCTAGTCACATTGCCTCATGAAAAGTTGTACCTAATCACTAATTTATATTGTGGTAAGATTATTAATGTTATAAATGTTTAACTCACTCTCATTTTAATTAGTTCTTTGGTTGTACTTATTCTGTTTTAGTAATGTAAAATTACTGCGATATTTTTTTCAGTGGTCATCAGATTTTTTTTAATTAATAGTATTAAGAAGCAATTAAAACCTGAAAGCATGCCTTAAAACAGGTAATTTAATAATTCTCTTTAATGATGCATGTGAAATTGTCAGCAAGGCATGGCACATGTCATCTCCCAATTTTTACCTTTAGAGTAATATAAAATAAAAAGGAAAATTATCTGGAGACTTACAGCATTAAGTCTCTTATAGTTGTAGTGGATAACGCAGGTGGACTTGTTTTTACTTATAATTAAAATTGAGAAAGAAAAATAAACAGAAGCTTATGCTTAGCTAGGAATCTGCATCTTTATTTTTAGAGTTCAAAAGTATCCCCCCCCCCCCCATCTATGTCAGATACTGCTTTGTTGAGCTGCAAAGGGCCATTTGTTATTCCTTTATAATTTTGGAAGTCTGGCATATCAAGTTGTATTTGAGATAAATAAGCCACTTGAACATGCAGTTTTCTTGAGATTTTGTTGTGCTGGCATATAAGCTGCTGACTATGACTTGTTTCTTCAATAATCCAAAGTATAAAACTTTAACATTTCATTCACATTTGTTTATCATTTGTATTGTATGAAATTTATATTACACTTTTGCCTCTGGATTTCTGAGACAGCATTGATAATTCCTGCTGTTCTTATAAAAGGTCTTTAGAGTGCTAAAACTGCTTGATCACATGTCATTGTCTTCCGTTTCTAGCCTTAAAAAGGAGTGCTGGTTACAGGGGTTTGCAGGCCCCTGTTATGACCCTGTGTTTATGGGAATTGCCCTGGAGCCCTGGAATGTGGGGATGGCTTTCATTGTAGCAGTGTGGGTTCCTTGGTCTTCGCCAGTATATTTTACAAGAGGAAATAGGAGACTTGTTGCACAATTCAAGGCCATATTTTGGCAAGTTGATGTTCCTCATGATGGAATTACAAGAAGGATTATATAGTTGTGAGTAACATCTTGAAAATTCAACACCCTCAAGTTGTAATTCTCTTGGCTGTGTGTTAGTTTCTGATCTATAATGTTAGCTTTATTTTTTTACTGTCAGTATTTGTATTTCTTGAAAATGATCTCCAAGTTCTTTGTAAACACATTTTAGTTTTTTAAAGCAGGTAAGAATGAGATGAGGTTTTTAAAATATTCATATAATGACTTTGAGTCTCAGAAGAGGATAGATTATTAACAAGTTCAGACAAAATTTTACTTGGATTTGAAAAGAAGTAGAAATTTATTTACCTTTTCTTGTGGAATCTTGTTTGGAAGTATAAGAGAATGACAGAATTGTAAAACACTTGGCTGTGAATTCATTTATTCAGTGGTTATAGGAATACTTCCTAGAAGTCACTGAAGAAGATATAAAATACTGAGGAATACAAAGGTTGGGTAGTAAAGAAATGATCATAATATCATAGTACAGATTGTGTTGTAAGACCTGCCACATGGCAGCATTTGATGAAATGACAAACACACAAATAATGTTTCTCAGATTTAGTGGGCATAAATCTTTTTTATTTATTGGAATTTGTTTCCTTCAGAAGAAATTTGATGAAATTGAATGATGGAATTGACCACCTCCAAAACACCTTTTCTCACTGCTAGCTTTTGGTACAGGCTGAATGAAGGTAAAGACTTTTCTTACCTTCAGAAGAGTTTTCTCTCATGCTTGAGTCCTAGAGTAGCTGTGAATATAGCTGAATGATTATCCAGACATGGCAGCTGAAGGACAGACAGAAAGACGGTTCTGTGAAGCTGTAATGGGAGAACTGTCCTACCTTGAATAAATGGGCCCATTGTTGGTTTTGAACTGTTGAGTA